GGGGGGGGGGGGGCGTGCTGGGCACACATGTCAAGATGAACCTCCTGTCCAGGCTATTGACCCAGAGAGACTTGGGCTAAAGAGGAAGCAGCTTGGGCAGAACAGGGTTGGGGCTTGTGGACTGATAGGGGCTGACTCTACCTCACCCCATCTCCCTGATTCTGGGTCTGACCCTTACCTCACCTCGGGTTGAACCCTGGGCAGCTGGCTCCTCACTGGTCACACCTGTCACCCCAAACTGCATTTCAGGAACAACCAGATTTGGAAGGTGACACGTGTTCTGTTCTCTTCCTTAAGACTCACGCTGCTCACACTTATTAATAGCTCAGGAAACCTCTACGATTAAAAGAAAAAGAAGCAGGAGGAAGCCATCAAAGACACCTGTTCAATTTTACTTAACATACAATTCTCCCATTTATTGTGTCCTGAGCCCTTCTTTTCCCTAGACAACATTATTAAGAATAGACACAAGTGTCCCCCTGAAGACAGTAGGAAGTTTTGGAAATTCTTCCATAAAGATGGGACTTGGGAAGTTTTAGCTGCCTCATAGCCCGCAACAGCCCTTCCACCAAGACCTTCCAGATAAACCTGCATTCTAAGATAAAGGCTTTTCTGTAGCTTCCAATCAAATGCCCAATTTGAAATACCCCCCAGGAGAGTGCTGCCATTCAGCCGTTTCTCAGATTCACCTCTTAACCCCTCACCCCATCACTCCCCAGACCCAGAGTGATTTGACCCCTCTTGACCTACCTCATGCCTTATTTCCCTGCATCCCCAAGTCCCACGAATCCTGGGCATTGACTATGGCATGGCATCATCTCCATGGCCAAATCCAGTTCCTCTTGCCAGATTCAGCATGTCCTTACTCCCAAGAGTTAATGGCATGGGCTGGGGTGAGAGGCAGCTTTCTAAAGCACACCTCCCACCACCTCTCTATCCCTAGGCACAGTTAATAGCCCTTGTATTGTTTTTCTCCCTGTCAAGTGTGCAGAGAGCAGCCAACTCTTTCCAGATTTCCAGGATTTTCCTGACTGTACCACAGAAAGTCCCATTCTCCAGGAAACACCTCAGTTGGGATTGTCTAAAGAGATAAAAATTCTGCATCACACGAACCCCTCTACTTAAGCGAACCCACATACTTGCACTATGCAAATGGCTTGTTTTGTAATAATTCTCTTATAGACCTGTCTCCTCAGTAGACAATGAGCATGTCCCAGCGGGAATCAATTCTGGGATACTTCTCTAGCTAAGGAACACAGTAAAGGGGACCCCAAGGGTGGGGAGAAGGGAGAGGGGATTCTGAAAGACTTATTCCAGGCAGGAAGAAGCACAGGATGGAAGTCACCAGCCCGGGGTTGTGGCTAGTTGAGCAACATATTTGTCCTGCTGGCACAACCCCTGTGGGTCCTAACCTTCTGTCCCAGGTCCTAGAGCACCTGCTCCACATTGACCCCTGCATTTCCTCCCTCCTGCAGCTGTGATCACTGCTGTGGCCTTAGTCCTGGTCTGCCTCCTCCTCGTCATGCTTCGCTACCTGTACCGGCACAAGGGCACATACCACACCAATGAGGCCAAGGGCACAGAGTTTGCTGAGAGCGCAGATGCAGCCCTGCAGAGCGACCCCGCCCTCCAAGATGCCAATGACAACAGCAGGAAAGAGTACTTTATCTGAAGGACATCAGACCTCATCTCCCTGAATGTCTCCTCCAACTTCAGGAGAACAAATGCATCTACCACTTACCACCATCACTGTTCCACAGGGCACCTGGCTCTTCCCAGGATTCATACCTATGAACATGTGGTGGCTCCCCAGGGAGGAAAGGGGGAGGACGCAGGCTGAGAGAGACCTCTCCCAGGGACGCAGGGACATAGCAGCCACCCTAGTAGGCCAGCTTTTGCTGTGGCAGGAAGAGAGCAAATCTGGACACACAGGTCTCCCTGGGAAATTCAGGATGTCATCTTATCAATGTGAAAGTCCTTCAGGGTGTGAGTGTGGTAGATGGGCCTGGGAGCTGGGGACCCAAAGAAGTGAGACATCAATACACTGACTGGAGATAATGGCATCAAATGTCAGTCCTTGACATTTGGGTTGGGGGGAACAGCAGGTGCCAGAGCTAAAAGGCACCTTTGTCTCCCATTGATCCAGCTCAAAACAATTGGAAATAAATTTGAAATGTAATCAAGCATTCAGAGTCAAACAGCACTACTGAAATTGTCTGGGGAATGACAAACACCCAGTGCTTGCTTTTTCCTGATGTGATTTTGTGTTCTCTGACAGAGACCGTGTGCATGGGGCTGGGACTATCCAGCCTGGCAAGAGAGGTGGGAGGAAGAGTGATCTGCATCTTTCTCCCACACCAGCACCAACTGCATGAAACAAACGTAAGGGCTAAATATCCCTCTGGAGATAGATTGTTACAAGTGGTCAGGGCACTGGCTGAAGTGTAGATATTCTGATGCACAGTATGGAGGCAATATAGACCTGTTCCAACAGTTGTGAGTGAAGCCCATCCTCCCCATAATCACACTGAAGATGGCACTCAGTGGTTGGAATATAGACTGCAGAGGTCCACTCCCTGAGTTGAAGTCCCAGCTCCCCTTTACTGCTTTTGAGACCTTGGTCCACTTCAAGTGGAAATATTGTTAATAATGCACCTCTGTGACCCGATTCACGGCATTGAGGGCAGCGACAGATGTGTCGAGTACTCGGCATTCACTGTGTTCCATTATCACTATTATAGTGGATAGCGTGCATATGTTTATTAATGAAAATTCCTTATTGCATCACTTCTAAACTCCTCCTGAGGAGGAAATATTGTTTAAAAAGAGTAACTGAGAGAATGAACTCATTAATCATCCCTTTTGTAAGATTCCCAACAACTCAAATCACTAAGACAACAGCAGCTCCAAGATTAAAGACTGCACCCTGGGGTGCCAGGGTCTGCCAGGAGTCCCTTCCGTTTATTGAGGCTACATCATCTCCACCTGAGTCAGCAGAACAGTTCTCCTCATCTCCCTAGAAGGATGATGGGGATCCAAGCTCAGCTGGGAATGGCCATCAGCCATTCCCAGAGCTGGTAGCCCTGGCAATGACATAGGAGAGAGAAGCACAGAGAAACTGTTGGTGGCAGGAGCCTGGTCAGTTGTAAAACCTTTCCCTGGGCGTCCCCAGCTCCCTGGCCCTCTGCTTTCTCAGGTAGTAGGTTTGACTCCCGTAGCCACCCTTTGTTTGAGAAGGATATGTTCCAAAGTTCCGAGTGGGTGCCTGAAACCAAAAATAGTCCTGAACCCTGTATATACTCTTTTTTTTTTCTTATATATACACATGCCTATAATAGCTTGATTTATAGACACAGTAAAAAATTAGCAAGGATAATTAATAGTGAAATAGCACAACTATATAATAAAATTGCAAAAAAAAATTATGAACTGTTTACTTCTGGAATCTTCCATTTGATATTCCCAGACCCCAGTTGACCAGGGGTAACTGAAACTGCAGAAAGTGAAACCAACTGCAGGATTATTGTGTATTCCTACTTCCCAGAGTGATCTACAGAATACCAGCCTGGCAAAATAATTATAGAATAGTGGAGACAAATAGGGGTGTCGGTCCATGTGCAAGTCAGTTTAGAAAATGACATGATTAAATGAAATTAAACCAGCCCAAGCCTCAGCATCTTTCCTGGTCTAGCATCGACTGTGGCTCTTGGGGGAGAGGAACAGAGCAGTCAGTGCAGCATGTCCCAGATGTCCTTGGCCAGAGATTCCCATTTCCTCACAGAAGACCTAGGACAAACATCAAGTGCCAGGACCCAGTGTTCCTTGGAACATGTTTAGGAAACACTAAACTAAATGACTTCTAACATCCCTTTCTGCTGTGACATCACTTCCAGTGTTTGAGAGTACATGGACATAGAACCAGCGGATACAGAGGCACACACAGAACACTTCAATAAGTGGTGGGTCAGCAAGAACCCCTCAGGGAACACAGCAGCAGCTCCAGGAACTGGGGATGCTGGAAGACTCACCGATGCTGGGGTCAGATTGGCCAGGCCAGGTCTATGCTATCTGATGGCCCTGGCCCATGATAGCCTGTTCTCCTGTGCCTCTGTTCCCGTTCCTGCTGAGAGCTGGCCTGAGATGCAAGATCACTGTGTGGCGAGAGGAGACCACAAGGATAGTAGGCCTTTCTGGCCTTGGCAGGATGGTTAAGAGGACAAGTGTGCCAGGTTGGTCACTCTTTGTCCACCCCTGAAGTCCTCAGGTAGCTAGCTGAGGACTTTTAACAAGGGACTCTTGTCAAAAGGAAAATGATCCACTAAGAGACATCATGACAAAGCATCTGTACCAACTCTTCCTGGATGATTCATATCTCTAGAAAGTACTCATCCCCAAAGTAAGAATAAAGATGCTCCTTAAGATGAAAATGTGTCCCAATGAATCCACCATAAATTGAAATATCACTAAGTCAAAGTGCATTCAGTACACCTAACTTACCAGCATTGCTTAGTCTATCCTATCTTAAATGTTCTCAGAACTCTTAACATTTCACCCATTACTGTTGGGCAGAATCATCTGACATAAAGCTTATTTTATAATAAAATGTTGAATAAATCACATAGTTTATTGAATATTATAGTGAAAGCAAAAACAGAGAATATTTGTATGGGTATGCTTTCACACTAGAGTAATGGCAAAAACTCCTGAGTCAAACCATGGAAATCAGAGACCATATTCAATGATGAAATTTCAGACCTGGAGTCAGATCAATAATGTGAGTGTGTGAGAGAGAGACAGAGAGAGTATGAGAGAGAGAAAGGGGGGTGGTGGAGGCAGAATGAAGCTGCAACCACAAACATTTATTAGCAAGTGGATTACATAACTGAAGATAATAGTTTCTGCCTTAAGGCCTCTGAGACTCAATAGAGAAGATAAACAAGCAGATGTGCACAATCCTGAAGTGTTATAGATTCTGAAAATGAATTGGTGCAGATAAATTTGAAAATGAAAGAGGAAGGGGTCAGTATTACCTGGGGAATGGGATAGACCCAGGAGGAGCTTTGGATCAGGTGAGCAGTGCGTAAGGACTGAGCCATGGAGGGTCTTGGGTGCCAAATGAAGAAATGTGGCCTTTGTACTGTGGGCAATAAGGAACCCTGGAAGGAAGAGGTCAGTTTCTATCATAAGGATAAAGCAATGATCAAATTAAACAGCACAAATGAAAAGGCACTGTAGAAATTTACAAGGGAACTTCTCATGGCTGATGCAGCCTTGGACCCTGCTCCGGGAACAGGAGACCTCCCCACCCAGAAGTTCACCCACCTCTCCTGCTTCCCATTGTTTGGTCTGGATTTCACATGACTCAACTCATTTTGCCTGGTGAGAAACGGGTCTCATCTGTTAGCCAGAAGAAAGGGCAGTAGGTCAGGGCTCTGAGCCAAGTACTATGTAAATATTAGAGAAGAATTTTTCTTCTTCTTTTTTTTTTTTTAGTGGAAAGAACTCCTGGTGATTTTGTCTTGTTTTTACTGCTCCATTGCTTTCTATTCCTTGTCTGAGTACTTTCATCCTCATGGCAACAGGGATGATGAGTGAGCGTCAACAGGATTTTAACTGGCCCAGTGCCAGGAATAGAACGATACACAGATTTTAATGTTTGCAATTTGACACATCAACATGATGTGACTGAAAGAGAGTAGTAGCTCTAGGAGCAGTCAAAACTGCACAAGAATTTCAACCCAGCACTTATTAGCCTTGTGACATTGGAAGAATTACTGCACTTCTCCAACATCTCAGTCTTCCCATCAATATGAAGGTCAAATGTTGGAATTTTAAGGTATATTTGTTTAAATAAGGATATATTATTTGTTTAAATAAGGGATTTTAAACATTTTTAAATATTTGTCTGAATATTTGTTTAAGTAAGGATAAAAGCTTGCCAAGAATTGTCAAGGGTCTGAATTTCACCCTGCTTTCAGGTAAGTTACATTAGTAGTCCACATAGTTTTGTGGCTACTGACAGAACACAGAAGACTCCTTGGTCAGAGACAAAAATCTTTATGACTAACAACCCAGAAAACAGCATGAACTTTGGCATACTCTCATCATCAGATCTCCTAAGTCCCACATGTGTGATGTGGATGGTCCCAGAGAATGCTTGCCCACACAGTAAGGTGTTGAGTTCCCAAAGAGAAACCATGAACTAAGAAAACTAGATTCTGTTATAATGCACAAAAAACATTACCTGCCCTTTGCTCTGGAAGAAGGCACTATCTCTGTCTTCCAAGACTGTTTTATACTCAAATATGAAAATGTTTGATATGAAAGCTCAGAACAAAGGGCAGATCCTGCCTCACTCATTATTATGTGAAATACGAAACCCATGAAGAATCATCTACCAACAAAGTAGTCACTGCCTAACATAGCACCCAATAGCCCGTGCATGCTCAGGAAATGCTGGTTGAACAAATGAGCATACACATTAAGCCAAGCAATCCACTAAATAACTGGGTTTACGGCCTTTCAAAGTATCCCAGACTTCTCACTAAAAAATAAAAAACAATTGCTTTTTAAACCTCATTGGGGAGTTTAAAGAACAAGGTTTTTCTCCATAATTTTGCTAGTATTTGGGAGACATAGCTGCAAGTTTGGTTGTTTTTATCAGCTTGCTATCTTGGGAACACACAGAGGCATACAGCTGTGGGAATGTCCAGTTCCTGGGTGGATTCATAAATCCAGAGCCTAGCAGTGAAGTTGGGTAGAATCTGCCCACCACTACTGCTAGGATTATCTTGTGATCAAGAGATCTCTCTCGCCAATATTATAGAACTCAAAGGAAGGTAGATAATTAACATATCCAGAACTCCCAGTCTTTGAACCCAATATATTGGCTGACTTTTATTTTTCAAATAGCTGAAATTCTTTTTCTCTCCAAGTCAAAAAGAGGTCTATATGTAGCCTTCTCAAGATCAGGCACCCTCTGAGCCTGCTGAGATGCCCAAGATCAGGCATCTACTCTGGAAGAACCCTCTAGCTCCCAGCTATCGCGTATCAGGCACTGTCTCCTTAAGTTCACAATTGAAATGTTAAGATCAAAGGATGGTGAGCACCAGACCTCAGAACAGGCAGTGAAAACACCTTCGTTCATTCCTTCATGCATTCCACAAATGTTCTCTGACTGTAACCA